CATAGAGGAAGGCGTTGGGGTGGGGTCCCAGCTTCCCTGGACGGAACTGAGAGAGGGGGAGCTTCGGGGCAGTTCACATCAGAGTGGCCATCGAGGAGGCCACAGCGTCACAGCACAGAGGTGGAGGTTTGGGCGATCGGAAGGATTCGCCCGAGGGGAGACGGAGTACAGGAGTTTCCTGTTCCTTCAGCAGAGTCACAGTAGTATCGACTCCCTAAATCTATGCAGAAAATGCAGATCATCAAGGCCGTGGAGGGTCAGCACCAGCCTCAGACGGTCAAGGAAGCAGATGCAGGAGCCCTGCGTGGCGGAGGGCCGGGGCAGGGAGGCCACAGCCACATCTTGCTGTGCCCACTTTGTGCCCAACCCTTCCAAAGAGCATCGCTGTATCACCCATGGCTTGGGAAGCTCCATGTCACGCAGGAGGGCTGGTGGCAGCTGCTGGAGGTGGGGGCGGGACTTCTGCTCCTGTCTGTGTGTGGACAGGGCTCACAGAACCAAGCAGGACCCCTCAGGTGTCCCTGAAGAGGTGGTGGACAGGGGCAAGCTGAGTCCTGGCCCAGCAGGGCACCAGGGAGCTCAGCAGGACAGCTCTGCAGCTGGGTCCAGGACAGCAGAGGGACCTCTCCTCCAGACAGAGGTCCTCGGGTGGCTGCGGTTGGCACTGTCAGGACTGGCTTGGAGGCCCTGGAGGTGCCCAGTAACCCTGCTCTGGAGGAGCAGCTGCCAAGCTGTTTCAAAGGAGAGAAGCCGGAAGGCTTCACCCTGCAGCGGGGTCAAAGGACACGGAAGGTGGCGTCCAGGGAGCTGCAGGGGGGTGGTCTACTGTATGGTTCCCAGCTGGTTCTGGGGTGACAGGTTTCATCCCTACCTGTGAAACACGTGTTTTTTTGTTTTTTTTTTTTAAATATATTTTTGGTTGTCGACAGAGCCAGGGCAACCAACACCCTGACAGAACTGTATTTTTATTTATTTTTATGTGGTGCTGAGAATGGAACCCAGTGCCTTATACATGCCTGGCAAGTGCACTTACACCGAGCCCAGGCCCAGGCCCAGGCCCAGGCCCAGACC